TTATGTTAACTGTTACTTTTTTCGATCCGGACCTTTATTTGTTCTTTATATTATAGATGACAAAAAATTTGTCTGTGTTACTCTATGGATACACCACTTAACTAGTTTGAATGAAATTTAGTATAAAAATAACTTCTTTCAAGTGGAAGGCAATCAGTTAGGTACTTTTGCCCTGGAAGAAAAAATATTTTTCACAGAACAGAGATAGATATAGTATAAAAACTTATAATGTAGTGGCTTATTATATAGCATTCCTAAAAATATACTTTTTGGAAATAATATCTTTTAATCATCTCAAGTTCAATATGGCCGTTGTTAATCAAATTGTTATTTGTTGAAACATGTCAGGCAGGGGTCCTTCGGCTGGAGGATAGAAAATATACGAAATTTTATTAATATACGATAATTACTTGTTAGACTATATCAATTGGTAAGAATCTTCGCATCTGCTAGGAAAAGCAAGTGATTCCGTGCAAATGCGGTCGAGGACCTCTTTTACAAACCTACTAGTTAAAAAGTATTTTCTGAGTTAGCTTAAAAGTTCTCTTTGTTCGTCGAAATAACTACATAAATGTTTCAATTTTACTACAAATGGCCGAAGTAGAGCACAGTCGCCTTTTCTTCTTTTTCTTTGTATGGCCACTCAGACGAAGCCATGGGCTCCTATCAGTAACAATAAATAAGCATAAAACATCAACAACCTAAAGTTACTAATCAATACAACAATCCACTAATTATTTCTAAAAACTATAACGACTCTACCAATTAACAAACTCTAGTTCATCTTTTTAATGTAATCCAAAAAAGCATCTTTTTCCCTTACAAAATATGGAACGTATTGCTGATTTCACACCATGTTAGAGGCAAAACCTATCCAAGGACGCAGATTATACAATTTTAGTCCCTATTCCTTGTACAATAGAGTGAAAAGCTGTGTAAAATTGTAGTAGACAAGTACAGTCACTAATTGAATTCTGTAACAGAAGCTGGCGAGTGGTCGAGCGATGTTTGCACACCACTCCTATGTAATTAGTCATTTGATTATCGTCTACTGTTACATCTCCGTTAATTTACGGACAACTATATGTGTCCTCCACATGTATCCCAGCTGTGGGCAAACCTGTGTAAATAAGGCCTTATCTATTACTCAAATTTCTAGATTTTTAGGATATGTAAACTATGAAGGGTTGTTTGGTAGGAAAGACTAAGTAAATTTTATAAATATTTTATTGGTGACACGTCTTCCTTCGTTAAACAACTTTATTCGTTAAACAACTTCGTTTTGCCACAGACTAGTAGGTATACCTTATTGATATAGCGAGGTAAAAAATACCTTACCTCATTGTTTGGTCCACAACATGTAAATGTGCAAGGACATGTCCGTTAACGTCGAACGTATACGTAAAAATATACTTCGTTACTTAAAAAGAACATACCAAGACATATGCACTATCACATATACAACTTTAGTAAGAATTAATTACCAAATACCGAATGGATTGTTACATTAACCATTTTTTTTTCTTAGCATAAACTTATAAAAAAATCGTATAGTTTTATCATATTAATATAAAAACTTGCTTAAAAGAATAGAAATGTTCATTTACTAGGTTCAGTCGCTGTGAAGTTTAATTATGACTTAATCATCCAATTGTGATTATTTGTACTAAGAAAAATTACGAGAGGTTCTTTATACTTACTGGTATTAGAAAATAGCTTTTAAAAGTTATCAGAGGAAAAGTATTTGCAGGCATGGTACTAAAAATAATATGATTTTGTTTACTATCTAGGAAAAATAAAGTAATAAAGTAGTTGATTAAATGAATTAAGGTAAAAATGGCAGTAGATAATAATACTTATATTATTATAAAATTATACTTGAGGATAGAGTGAAATCTTTTCGTTGTATATAATATATAACCTTGTACAATATACATATTATACAGCTCATGAAATCTTAAATGCTAATATATTTAATATTAAATCTGCTAAATGTGAGTCCCGTCTTTATTTATTTGACAACTGTGGCTAAAATATCTGCTACGTGGTGTAGACTGTAGAGCGTCGTAGAGCTAGACTCATAAGAAACCTAACATGTTAGATCGAGGCGACAGCTTCTCAAGTACAGTCCTTAATAGTACACAGTAGCATCAGGTATGTGGGAAATAGAGAACCATTGTTAAATTATGAAAACATGTAAATTCATTTAAAAATATTGTTTCCTTTGAAATATCTGTGCGTTAAGCATGATACCTGTGCAGTACGTATTTTTGGATATTCCAGCTGTAGAGTTGAAAAGTTTTATCAATTTATATCTAATCGTTTTGAGGTTTCCTAAATAATAGTTACTTTCAAAAATGATTGCTCTTGAAAACAAAATTATATTCTTCTAAGTTTTTAAACATATTGATGATTTTGATTTGTAATCTGCAAATATATCTGAGCCCATCATTCAATCTCCATGCTCGTAGTTGCCCGCTTTGAGAGCTAATAGAGCATGAATTATATATTTAAAGTAGTTGTTTGTTTGGAGCTCAACAAGTGGTTTAGGAAAAATAGTTGATGAGTAAGATTTCGGGTTTAATCGGCACTTAGCTATTCGTTTGCTCCGATGACAGTCAAAGGCGACGAGTGGCCCTCAGATTGTTATGCGAAATAAACTGCTTCATCACATCTGCGATTGTAATTGAATACGTTTGTCTCTGTTTGCTTGCAGGGGCCCTTGTTTACACAGTGTTTTGCTTATTACTAGCTTTTTCAAGTATTGGTTCTTTCCTTTAGATATCGAGGGCTGTTCAGATCTGCGCCGCAAGTGAAATGTGGAGATGTAGAATTAGCTCTCGTGCTAATTAGCATAGCCACTAAGGTATTTAAATTCTCGAACGAATCCGATAATCGATAAAGGGGTAATAAGCAGTTCAGTGAAGGGCTCTGTGTGTTTCAACATGTTGCGAGGTCGATCTGCACTCGGCTAGAAATGCCTTCTTTTTGTCGGATTTTTGCAAATATTGCCTTTTAATAGAGCTGAAATTGATAGATTTTTTAATTGAGCACGTAACTTTACTATGTAGAATCACATATAGTTATTTAGTTAATAGAGAAATCAATATTTTGAATTCTACATCAAATCAATAGATGATATTTACAATTTTTAAAATAATTAACATCATTAAACTAGATTCTTTAATTGCTTCGCTTACGAACTAATTGACTGGTAAATGCAACTTCATCACATGTGACAGATATTCCCCGCCACTCCCTTAAAGTTTCAGGATAACGAATAACAAATAGCGAAAGCCAAATCAATCAAACCGCTAGCAAAACAAACGGAATAAAATCTGACACTTGGAAGTGTCGGCGGAACACATTGCTTGTTATTATAACTTGTCGCCACTTAGTGCTGCGGCGTCTGTGACACCCGACACTGCTGTGCACATTTCAAAGCTAAAATCCACCTTATTTGCACAAAAATAGAATACAAATTCAATTAACAGCACAATCGACAGTCGTTACATATCTCAGTGACAGAAAAAAGTTTATTTCCTTACAAATGATCGTAAAACTCGTCTTAATACGGTTTGCTACTTAATAAATACATATGTGTAATAGATTCGTTTTCTCATTTTCAGATATTTTCAATTTTAATGTATTGTATAGGTAAAGTATTATTTATACTGTCATTAGTTGATGTAAATATTTTTTTAGTGTGAATCTACATATACTAATATTATAAAGAGGTAAAGTTCGCGAGTTTGTGAGATTGAAAGTTTGTGAGTTAATGAACTTGTAGGAGGTAATCTCTGGATCTACTGAACCAATTTATTTATGAAATTTGGTAAGTAGATAGTTTGAGACCCGGGGAAAGACATAGGATACTTTTTATCCCGGAAATCATCCCATAAGGGGGTGAAAATGTGGATGAAAGTTTGTATGGGGAATCAAGCTATATATTATTATAATTTTTTTGGTCATTGTAAGTAAACACATCAAACAGAACAAGTACTTTCTAAAAAATCATAAATATTCTGAAAAGATGAAAAGTTTTTTTTTGTAATTTTGTTTGTATAGTAATTTAATTTAGAATTTATATTAAGCTTTTATACTTCACATATCCCTAGTTTTGGGAAAACTATTGTAGTAACCGATTAGTCCATAGCCACGCAGTTTTTTATTCAACAATACCTAATAATAATAAGGAATGTACAAAGAAATATTAACATAACATAAATATCATATTATGTTACTAAATAATAGAATTATTATAAACTAGTGACTTACCATCGCTTCGTTTTGGGTTCGTCCATAGTGAAAAACAAAAACAAATATATACCACAGGAGTACATTTTTCCAGGATAAAAAGTAGCCTATGTGCTATTTCAGGCTATAGTGTATCTCTCCGCCAAATTTCATCCAGATCTGTTCAGCAGTTCTGGCGCGAAAAAGTAACAAACATCCATTCATCCATCTTCACAAAAAACGGATTTATTGCACAAACTATGTGTTGATGCAGTAAAATGTAAAAAGGGGCCATAAGTTATATTATATAGAAGGCTATAAATTATTGTAGAATAAATCACTGTAGATTGCAGATTATCACTAGTTAAGATGTTCGTTTTTTTATTGCATTTTTTATAATATTCCTTAAGACAATTAGGTATTATGACTTAACTACATTTTTTTTAGATCATGACTCACTATTGGGTCTTGTACAATGCCTTGATAAATACACAAAAAATACTTTAATTTAAAAAAAATTGAGACTGTTTTGTTGAATTTTCATTTGTACACTTATTTATTATTATTATTAAATTCAAATTATAAAGTACATATCTTTATTGTCTCTACTTTCGATGTTCGTTATAAAAGTTATGTTGATGTTATATATTTATAATTTTATAACAATCTTTCTTAAATAGTAACATTGTGGGTAAAGAATAATTTATTAACACTCTACATTATGTACTTTAGGTAAAGCCAATGCACATTGAGAGAAAAATTACCTTGCAGCATCATACGCTCGTATTTCTTAACTTTAAATAGCAGTGTAACTGACTATATTGACGTAATGTGGAAGTTAGCGATGTGCAGAAACCATGAATATGTAACGACTTTACAGCGCGTCGTACGAGCTGAGCACAGCGAGACTTGGCTACGACTGCTTTGATTGCATTTTCTTAGCTTTTCATAAAATGAAAGCTGAGTATGATTTATAACTTCTAATATTTGAATAAAAAATGTAATAAATGTTACTTTTTAATAGAAAATATTTACTTAGTACAAAAAGTACATAAGATTCTACCAATAAGCCTAGGGTCTAAGCGTACCTCGCGGTTTTGACTCCGACCACTCTATGTACCCTTTGTGCTGCGTACATAGCACAACAACCCTTGCCCCTAATTTTCAAATTAAATATGGCGGCTTCCTAAACAATAGCACGCGAAAAGACCATCGGGTTCATTGTTTTAAAAACAATAAAACGCGCGGCCATGATGGTAAAAACGTCAAATCTACTCGTGAATTCCTCCCTGTGGCGTTTCAAATATGAGATTCCCGCGCAAAAATGGCGGCGGCGAAGGCAATTTTTACAAATGGCTGCCGGGCCCCCGCCGGGCAGGTGGTTTGTTTTCTGTTAGGCGCTTTTCAGACTCGACTAGGGTCGCGAAACTTGTGAGCCAAAACACACGCGACACACGCGATGTGTACATTGTACAATGTGTGCGGGCATCGGCCGCGCGGCTCTCCCGGGCCTGAGCTCCATAGACGACTCTACATGGTACAGAGCGCTCCCATCATCCCAGCAGACGTTACAAGTAATAGAGTAATTCTAGCACCTACAATCGTATCACTTACTCGACCTCTCTAATTTGCATTTAACAGGATATTTTCTAAAACCTCACGTCCTACCTAAGCAAATTTCTTTCTCCGCCGCACACAATGTAACATATCGCTTCCGGGGCGCCGAGAAAAGTGCTCTAAAGCGAAAATTTCAAAGTTGACTTTCCGTTGGTGCTTAGATTGGCGTATGATTTATGGTATTGAGTGGTTTGAGCCTGCGCGGTGACGTTTGACGTTTGGCGGATTCATTACTGAGACAAAGGCGGGGGGCGAGGGTAGTGCGGGGCGCGGGATGCGGGGCGAGGGGGGTGGCACACGAGGGAACCCCCCAACCCCTCAAACAACTCCCGTTTCCACCTCCAGCAACTTTTCTAAATCAGCACTGTGTATTGTTTAGCATTAGTTTCAAGACGATGCGGAATTGGAAATAGTGGCTGCTTAGTTCACGTTCAATGCACAAATACATATTTTTGGATTGGTTTCAAAATTAAATTACAATATTATTCTAAAGTTTAATATTTCTTTATTTGTAATACATAGTCTAATCTTCTTTAATGCACAGAAATGCGTTCAACATATATTTAATAATCGGTACTATACATTTAATTAGCAGCTTAGGAAATATTACATTTTAGTTCTCTACAAAATCTTCACTCGTTTTCGCCTCTAGAGAAACAAAAACAAATTTATTTCACGGGAACCGTTCATTTTGCCGAGATAAAAAGTAGCTTATGTGTTATTCTGATGTATGACCTATATTATTATAAAGTTTCATTAAAATCCATTCAGTAGTTTTTACGTGAAAGAGTAACAAACATCCATGTATCTATACATCCAGACATCCATACATCCGTACATCTTTACAAACTTTCGCATTTATAATATTAGTAGGATGAATAATAGTACCTACTCAAAACTTCAATGAAACTTAGCATTTGCAAATAATTGCTGATGTAATAGATAAAATTATGAACTAAATTGAGCTAAAGATGGAATATCTTCATTAACCTTAGTCACATGTAATCTTCATAATATAATATTATAACGTGTTCAAGATATTCACTGCTAGATCAAAATATCTCACAATAACTATATTTCGAGGTACTTTCATTTAATTAGGGACTTCACATATGTATTTTATAATATTAATATTCTCAAATATTTACCGAGATATTATACATCTTCAAGAACTGTTAGAAAATAACTATCTTCATAATATGGACATTCAAACATTTAACTTTAAAATTACAAATTCAAGGCTTTAAAAATCTTTGTCTATGTAACAGGTAAACCAAATATGCTACAAGAAAGAAGACTTGTAGATGAATAATAAGTTATACTTACCATGATTGCCATTTAGATTAACAGTGGTATATTGGCTTTGCCAACTGTAACAGATGTTATGGTAGTAATATTCAGCCCTTTTAACATCCCACCGCTGGGCACGGGCCTCCCGTCAATGCGGAGGGGATCAGGCCCTAGTCTACCACGTTGGCCAAGTTCGGGTTGGCGGACTTCACGTGCCTTTCGAAAACTTGCTAGGTTCTTTTAGACATACAGGTTTCATCACGATGTTTTCCTTCACCGTACAGCAAGTGGTAATCATGTTGGAATATGATTCGCTCATGAAAATATCAGAGACGCGAGACCTGAGATATGAACCTGCTTTATTCGGTTTCCCAAGTAAACGTGCTACCGCTGGACTACCACTGCCTAGATGTTATGGGTCAACTATAAATTAGCATAATACTCGTACATCCTAAATTAATTATTGAACAATTTAGAAACTCTCTCTTTTTTGAGTTTCTCAGTGTAGCTTGCAAGTTTGTAATTAACTTTTAATTTTAAATAAAAAAAAAAATTCGGATTTATTCGTAAATTTTATTTGATTTTTGGTTCCCTAAGCTAAAGAATGTTTTAAGCATTCAAATCAAGTGACAAGGGAGAGAGTACTGCACAGCACTTAAAACGTCGGGTACCAAAAATCAAAATAAATCTTCGAAAACAACCGAAACAATTTTTTTATTTAAAATGTCAAATATTCGCGTTACATCTAAGAAAGTATTATATTTATCCGCTAATGTTATTATGACTCACCAGTGAGGTGCGGCTGCGCAGTCGGGCTGTAGGGCGACTTGATCTGCGGGAACCCTGGGAACAAGCGCACATTAATTAAGCGTGGAACAATTAACATTTCCTACAGGAATACCAATTTAAAACTGCCGCGATTTACCTGCGTGAGCCCACGCCCGGGGGAGGCCCCGGTCTGACTCCGCCAGTACGCGAGACAAGCGATTTATATTTATTAAGACATAGAATCACCCCTCAAAGCACCCTTATTCTTATAAATTACTAAATATGATATTTTTTGAAGGTAATAGTTACTGTGTGAATTGAAATAATTGTTGTCTATTCTATTTTTGAAGGCTATTAAAGATTTAACATATCAATTGATTCAAGTTTATAATTTGTTAAAATAAACTGGATGTAGATAATTCTACTTCTTGTATGAACTTTAAAGAGTTTAAGCTATAACAATATTATCTGGTTTTCTGTATAGAAGAAAGTATCTTTGTCTATCTTATGTTATACCTATGTTACCTTTTCACGCTTAATCCGCTGAACAGATTTAGATGAAATTTAACATGGAAATAGTTTGAGTCCCTGGAAAGGATATAGGAAAGTTAAAAGTTTTTATCCCGGCAATCATTCCTTAAGGGGATGAAAATGAGGGTGGAAGTTTGTATGGGGAATCAATTATTTTTCATATAAGGGATATGAAACTTATTGTACCTGTGTATACATATATAGTTATCTATTCTATACCAACCATTAAAACGTACCTAGGGACGAGCCCCAGTGAGTCAAGGGCGAGTCGCTAGTCATTTCATAAATATTAATTTAAAATAAAACTTTAAGATAATAGAACTAGAATAGAGAGTTGATGTAAATCATCCAGATGCACAGAAAAATATACAACACATCAGGTTTAAGTTAATTATAAATATTTATCGCAAAAATTTAAGATACGATGTAGGATTTCGCTTAGCAAATAGCACATGACAATAACACAAACAGCTGTTTAAATGGAATGTTTCGTGGCCTACGAAAAAGTTAACACAAAATAGTACATTCAAAAGCCAAACTCTAAATCAAAACAATGAAACTGCTCCCAACAAAGTTCACTAAAACGATCGTATTACATTAGACAAAAAGCAGACAATGCGCGTAGTTCAATTGGAGACGTCCACGACTATTATTTTACCTTACATTAAGTTATAAGTACAAAGGAGATAAAAACTTCCTTTATTGCTGGAGTAGGCCGAGGTTCTGAAGGTGCCTTAGGTGTTGATGTTGCGTGGTGGCGCTGTATCTGGGATAGTGAGCTAAATTGTATTACAAGACTTTAAATATCCACTTAAGAACAATATTGTTATATGCTATTTTTTGTAAGATCTATGTTATTGAAATTAATGTGTTACGAATATGACGGGAAGTGAAAATAAGTTTCTTAATTGGTGGAATCGGGTGCTTTCCTAGAAGCTTTTTGTTTATTTATAATATGACATACAGTTAGAGCTACCTTTTAGCAAATTTAATTACTAATAGTAGCATATGTGTTGCTCCAGATTGTCGTGTATCTCCCCCCCAACGTGCGTTCACCTTGTCGTGGTGAGGGGGCGGAGTAGTGCCTGGCAATACAGCCGGGCGCGAAGCCAAGAAACGCACAGGGAGGTTGCCCACTTCGGTGAGCGGTGAGAGGTGGCCCTCTTTGGAGGGCGGTGTACCATGCGGGTTGCTCCTGGTACTTCTCTGATAGCAGAGTGGACCTTGGAGCAACCCCGTGGTTGTTGTGGTCTGCTTCGGCAGACCTGCCGTCGGGGCGCCCTAGTTGAATGCGTAAGCGATCCTGCGACGCCCCATTAAGACGGGGGAAGGTTTTGTTGGGTTTTAGTGGGTAGTACTGGCTTTGCCGGTGAGTCCCACACGTCGTGCGTGAATGCATTTCCCAACGTTAAAAAAAAAAAAAAAGATTGTCGTGTATCTATTAAATTTCCTTCACATCCTACTAGCCATTTCAGCGTAAAGAAGCAATAAATATACATACATATGTAAATATACATAAATATTTTTACTAGTAATGTCATGTTCTAGGCCGGCTTTTGAATTTAATTTCAAAGCATGAACATAAGTCTGCTACAGTCAAAGTGATTTGACATCTATGATCTAATCAACCCATACATCATATATTACTTAATATGATATTATTTCTTGTAAAGCATGATCTCAAAAAATAAACACAGAAAAAAAACACAAAGGAACGTTAAAGCTGTGAGCATCATTGTCAGTTTTTGTATCGTACTTGATTTAAAAGCAAGTTGTTGACTTTAGACACTCCTGCGCATGTAGGCACTCGTAGATTCTTAGCTTTACATGACATAATATTAAGTATTTTAAAATAAATGATGGATATGTTTCTTTTTTAATTTCCTGCCTGACGTTAGAATATAAAAATATACCAACTACATTAATTTTAACAAAACCAAAATTTCAATGACACGGTAGTGGAATACTTTAAAAAGTATCTTTTTTTTTAAATATGTAGGATGTTATGATCAATGTAGCTTTACAAACACTTTGTTCTAAATCCATCTAATTTAATAAGAATACTATATCTTTATCAGGGGTTCATAAAATATATTTTTTTAATTTAATTTAATCGTTTATTTCAGGAAATATTTACATAAGGATCTTAAATAAGTAAAATTGTGAATTCAAAATGAAAAAAAATTATTCAGCATTATATTATTACTTTTTTTTACTGAATGTCATGTTCTAGTCTACTACCAGTTCGGAAAGATGAAGCTTCAAACCTGAGAAGAACAGGTCAAAGAAACTCAGCGGGACTAAAATGTCTTCTTTGTTATTAAATTATGAATTACACTAATTCTACAAAAGTTGAAGTGGTCTGAAGGCGATCACGTCATTCCCGAAGCGTGATATCTATACAAATATTATAAAGGGGTAAAGTATGTGAGTTTGTGAGCTTGTGACGTTGTAGGGGGTAATATTTGGATCTACAGAACCGATTTACATGAAATTAGGTAAGAAGATATTTTGAGACCCTGGGAAGAACATAAAATATTTTTCATTCCGGAAATCATCCCTTAAGGGCGTGAAAATGGGAATGTAAGTTTATATTGGGAAACAAGCTAAGGACGAACCCGAGCGAAGCGAGGGTGAGTATTCTTATATAAAATCATTAATTGTATAATTAGCTTTTAGCACACAAACGTTCTAGAAAAAACTTGAAGCTATAGTTCGTACTAGTAGGTATGTACTGTTGCGCAACTAATAAAGCAGCATCCCATTCCATAGTCAATTAATACAGAGAGTAACATTCTTCACTTAGCGTATTTTTGATTGAAAGTATTAGTTTCAATGAACATCACTAAATCAATACATAAAATACATACATATAATAAAATTTTGAGTCGAATCTGTACATTAAATATTTTTTGGGAAAATCTTATTGAAATAGTTATTATTATCGATACAGAGGCCGAATATATACTTTTTTGAATTGTTGTCTGAAAATATGAGATTAGATCTCCGAGAAATATACATATATAAACCTTAAAATGTAGGGATGAACCTGAGCTGAGGGAGGGTGAGTCACTAGTTTAATAAATATAATATCTTTAATATGAATACGTAATTATAAATCTGAAAATTTCTTTCTCTTTATTTTGTTTAAGCGCGCTGTCTCCGGAATCATCAGTTAGATTTGAAAAAATCGTTTGTATACTACAGTACAGAATATTCTATAGTCTATACCTCATAATGGAGAAGGTTATAGGAATTATTATATGTTCCTTCGATGTGGAGTAAATTATAAATAACATACGGAAACGGATCCGCAGGCAAAAGTTAATGCTATTAATATATAAATGTGTTTGTTCTTCTTTTATTTAGTTCGTAGCAAAAGCTTGATTTTTTATACTTCAATCCATCTCACCTAAATCTTGATTCTTGTAACTTTGATCTAGAGACTTGTGGGATAACAGAGTTTTGCTAGATCACCAGGAAATATGCATATTCTTCATATTGATCCGAATGTAATCAAATTTTCGTACCTAAAATGTTCCAACAAAGACTTCTTTAACAAGCTTTTGGGGATGTCAGTGTGTCAGTGCTCTAATCAAAGGAATTGCTTAATTAACAGAAATGACTAAACGTGCCCCCTCGCCCCCTCCTGCCCCCGGGTGATAGCACTCGGTTCCTGAGCTTTTTGTTACATTCTGTACAATTTTGGGGCTTTAAAAATATGGCAAATTATACCAAATGTACAGTTGAAATTTTACAACTCTCAATTTTCAATTTTTTATTGACATTGTGTAAAGGCTTCATAAAGCTAAATCGTTATTTTTAAAAGAATTTTTATTTTTTATATAAATAATATAATTTCTTTCATTTGAAATATTAACCCTGAAAAGACACTATATAGAAATATACAAATATTAACATTTGAACATTTATATACTAATGAAATATCAAAGTTACATATAATTTTTTTAAATTTATATCTCTACCAGTACCTACTTGCTTTACTTTATAGTAGGTATGAAGTATCGAATTTGGTTGCAAACCATAATAAATGTTATAGTTGGAAGTTTTGAAATTTTGCGTAAATCTTCATGTGCTGTATGTTTTTAAGTGATAATTCTCTTAACACTGGTTTTTACAGAGGACTGTCAAATGAGTAGCGTATTTATTGAGTAGTAACGACCCGCCCTCGCCTCGCTCACTGCCACCTACACGTACTTCAGTCACTATTCTAATACACTAATATCTCACGAAAACCACTCAAATAAAGGGTTGCAGAACTTGTGCTACTATTCGGCTTATAAACAATTCTGTGCAAATCGTTGAACGTTATTATGTGAATATAATGAAGGATAGTTTTCACATGTAAAATACTCGGAGAAACTTCACTATAAGCAATATTTGTGTATGCTTTTAACAACCTCTTTTTATATATCTGTAGATGTTTAAGTATCGACAAGATTAATTAAAACGTACAATATTTAAAAAATCATACCCTCGTAATTTAGGTGTTGAATGACAACCGTAGGAGCAACTCTATCCCC